CCATGTTCTTCCCCTATTTTAATCTGGAATTACAAACTCCAATAACTAAGAAGAAGAATACTGTTGCAAACTAGCTAGCTGAATGATCCATTTGCCCGTCTGGAGGCTCCCTGAAACACGAACAATGTTAATATAGGTTGTGTACACACTAAAACTTTTTCTAGAAAAAGAGGTGCTAGAACTCACTCATGGAACACCTCCCTCATTCACTTAGAATGGCAATGGCGCCCACCTAAGAGGTGCCGGAACTGAGTTCTGGCTGAAAAAAAGCCCTGCCTTTATTGCACATTCACAAAGAAAGCCCAGGACAAGTGGAAAACCCATGCTTTCTAGGCATAGGACATGTGGAAATGTGGGCTTAAGCATGCTTCCTCTTTTCCCACTGCTTTCCAACTCAGAAATCTGCTCTTTAGTGCTCAATTGACGCAAACAGCAGTTTGGGTTTTCTATGAATTGATGTTTGCTATGAATTAGAGCTAAAGAGTAGGTTTTCCCTGGGAAAGGAGAGGGGCAAGTGGAAAACTGCTTGGACCTGTGCATTTTAGGCATGGGACAAGTGGAAATGTGGACGAGCCCTCAATCAGCTGGGTTCATACCAAACAGCGACAGAAGGCATTAAAAGCTCTATCCAAACAAATTGCATGATTTTCATTAAATATCACTGCAGATTTTTTCAGGCTGGAAATGTATTCAGTGAAATTTATGACATGACAAGATAGGATCCTATCCCTAGGACAAAAAAAATCATATAAGCGCTCCTAAATATACAATAAAACAGGGTTTAAATACATTACCCCCTCCAAACTGGCTTATTCCTAATTTCTAAAAACCAGCCCAAGCAGCTGGTTCTTAAATAACTTCTGAAAGATACTCAGTCAAAGAAAGTGTTTCCAAGTAGAGTAGTGGGATTTTGTAACTGTATAGGAAGCCACCAAGAGATCCCCCTCTGTTTTAGGATACATGACACCTTTGATGCACAACTATTTACATTTCCTTGGAATTGTAAACCTTCGTAGTTTAGTGTAATTTGACGAATGTACAGAGGACAGACTTTGCCTTTGCCTGCACTTGCCAAAAGAAAAAGGGAAAATGCAAGGGGAGGGAGAACAAATGCAAAATGGTCCAGAGCAAGCTGCTTCCCAGCAGACTGGGGTATTTCAGGAGCAGACAGTAGAGGAAGCTTACAAGCGAGTCATTCTCTCCACAGCCCAAACGAAAACTTGATAAATTTCACCTCTTTCTTCTCTAGCCACAAGTGCCATGCTAAGCTAAACACACTATGGAGGAATTGAATTGCTAATGAATTCCAGCTGGGATATCAAGTTTACACATTGTGGTTGCTGCAAGGGTGGGTTGTTTCAGAAGGGTGAGGTTTTTGAGGGTTGTTGTTTTTTGTTTCTTTGCCATTATTCCACCTTTTATTCAGCTGCTGGGAAATCATTCCTGCCCCCCAAAACCACCATGGAATGCCAATGTAACATGAGTCTGCCCCTTGGCTGGTTTGTGGTCTCTCAGCCTCAGAGCCATCTTTGCAAAGTTGCCTCCCCACTCCTTATCTCACATGTCTGGCAGAAAATGACACACAGTTGTAAAGCTTGTAGAAGGCGGCTTCCATTCACGACCACAACTTTTCTACTAGTTTGCTGGGGGTGGGGGTGGTGATAGTCGGTGGCGGGAGATTCCCTTTGTTGCCTCTGAATCATAAAGGTCTGGGGCTGCAGATTAGTCAGAGAAAGCCAGACCACTAGCCAGATGGCTGGAGGCTGAGGTAGAGTGGATAAAGCTTGGGTAACTGGCTATGACCTCTCTCTCTCCCGTGTATTGTGCTGCCACTTGGCAGGTGATAAAGCAGCAAGCACAATCAAATCAGTTCAATAATTTTTCAACAGCCTTTTTTACAACATCTAGAGGATGGTGGAGATGTCTCAAACACACAACCGGGAGTTGACTTGTGCTTGATTTATGAGCCAAGTGGAGCTGTATCTAAAGTCAAGTCCTGGGGACGACAAAACAACAGATTGTGGCTGCTTTTCAAATCACACTTCAAAAGCCATAAGGTTAGTGGCTGCCACACAACTATCTTGACATGCGACTATTTAAACATTAAATAGCTAGCAGTTGCTGAGAACTGTCTCTGGATTCCAGGGACAAGCATTCACTTGATCTGTTGAGATATACCCGGCGGTGGAAGGTGATGAGTCTACTGGGTTTCTCTCTCTTTAAAAGGTTAGCAAGGGCAATAAGCCCCCTTAATTATAGACATTGTATCAGGAAGCAAGTGAAGTTCTGTGCTAGGATCTGAAGGAAGCATTTTAAAGGAGGGGAGTGGGAAAGGAGCACAAGTTCTTGTATTTGCATTAGAAATGCCTCTCTATCCAGCACATGAACAAAAACCCTACAAGATGAATTGTACTTGCCACATTGCGTAATATATGGTTGTGTTAATATCTTCCTTTGTATTGACCTCAGCAACTTTTGACCTCTTTCCACAGTGCTTATGGGCATTTTACTATTATTATTTAGATGTGAGCTATCCTTTTAGGTAGGGGAAAAGGGGGAGGAGAAGGAGGAGGGATGTTTAGTTTGTAATTTTCCCTTTTCAATTAAAAGAAGAAAATAGAAACACCCGACTATCCTTTGCAAACTTTTACAAAACTCCAGCACTGCCTTTTGAGTTTAAATGCCAAAGATATAACCTGGGGCATTCTGAAAGCAAAGAACGTGCTTTACAACTGAGCGAGTTATGCCTTGTCCCCAGCTATGATTCCTCTTAAATGGCAAAATACACCCACAAGCCTCTTTGAAACTGATTTATACTAATAACTCAATTTACATTAAGTTAATGCATTAATTTACATTAATTTACGTTAAGTTAATTTACATTAACTTAAAGCTGTCAATTACATTTTTTTTCATAGGGTTGATACCATGTGAGGAGAATAGATAAGGCTATGATTTTTATTGAACTAATTATCTCTAGAATGTGAGTGAGGAACCATATCAGCCACAGTTGGGAGACAAGTCAGTTTAAGCCAGAAACATTTGTATCATAGAAATTCTATATGCAACACAACTAGACTTGCTTAGATTATATATTATGCAGTGTAACAGAAAGGAAGGGGTGGTGGCAAAGATCCTGGTTTTACTCTCTGCCTCCCTTCCATTCACAACAGCCAGTCATGGTCAGTCATGTCCCCAGAGTGATCTCTTAAGTTGCCACCACATGCTCCTGAGCAACCTCCCACCCCAGGTGAGAGTCGCTTCCAGGGAACCAGCAGACCCTACACTTCTTGCACTTATCCAGAGATGTATTTATAGTGCCTGTACCCCCATGCACTTGCTCCACAGAGAAACACTATTAACTCACATTCAGACATGAGAAAGACAGTGCTACTGCAGCTCAGGGGCACACCTCCACCACCACCTAGAAAGGCACCTCCACCACCACCCCAAGGCTCTTTGGGACACCATTTTGCCCTCCCTTACCCAGGGAAGTGTGGGACGCAGGTGGCGCTGTGGGTAAAACCTCAGTGCCTAGGACTTGCCGATCGTATGGTCGGCGGTTCGAATCCCCGCAGCGGGGTGAGCTCCTGTCTTTCGGTCCCAGCTCCTGCCCACCTAGCAATTCGAAAGCACCCCTAAGTGCAAGTAGATAAATAGGTACTGCTTTATAGCGGGAAGGTAAACAGCGTTTCCGTGTGCTGTGTTGGTGCTGGCTCGCCAGAGCAGCTTCGTCACGCTGGCCACGTGACCCGGAAGTGTCTCTGGACAGCGCTGGCCCCCGGCCTCTTAAGTGAGATGGGCGCACAACCCTAGAGTCGGACACGACTAGCCCGTACAGGCAGGGGTACCTTTACCTTTACCCAGGGAAGCAAGGTGTGTTAGGGTTACTGAAACTTAACTGGTGAAGCTCCCCTCCTCTCCCAAACATTGAGACTGCAATCCTGTATGCATTACCTGAGAATATGTCTAATTAGATACAGTGGGACTTACTGCTGAGTAAACTTGCATAGGATTGGGCAGTAAGTGATAGGGAAGTTTCAGGAGCAGTGGGGCAGGAGTATAAGTGGGACACAGATTCCTACAAATTCTGAATCATAAACCAGTATCGCCTTTCAGTGGGTAGAGGCAGGGAGGAGGAAGAAGAGAATTGCCCCATAAACAACAGAACCTGTTGTTGCCCAATGTTGCTCAAGTCAAGATAGTCCATCCCATCCTGCTCCATTTTTACCTGCTTCTTCTACCATCACCCCTGTTGCCAGAAAGGGGAAGAGGAAGAAGAGGAAAAGATCCTGTCTGACCTGCCAGGGAGTAGTGGGGAGAACTAAGTCCTGGGACCCCAAGGAAGGGACATGTGTGGGGTCCCTGGAAAGGGCTCCTGCGCCCTTAGCCGACAGCTCTGACTTCATTCATTAGGGTGATTTAGAGCAGCCAAGCTACATTAGCACATTTCACAGAAATTGTTTGGGAAAGGGGTTCACATATAGGCTTATGACATTTCTCCTAGAGCACATGCAAACTTTTTTTAAAAAAAATAGGAGTCCAGGCCCTCTGCTGGTGTGGCAAATGCTGCCTCCTTAAATTCACCACCCTGGAGAATTGCCTCCCATTTTCCCTCCCATAAATGCATCACTGCACTTAACAGGAACGCGGAACCAGCATCCAGCTGCCTATCCCACCTGCAGCCTGCTCAGTCCCAACTCAAGTAGTATGTGCCCGGCAACTTGGCACATGGGAGATTACATTAACACACCCAAGACTCCAACAGCCAAATTATGTGAAGTTTATTTTTATTAATAATAATAAAGGAAGAAGAGGACAACTGGCACAAAGCAAAAAACTGTGTCAAAAAAATATATTACAAGAACCTCTTTAGTTCAAGCCTAACTATCCTAACATTCACTATTGCCTTCTAGTCTCCTAATGCGCAAAACAGGTTAGATAGGAATATATGAAGCTGCCTTACACCGAGTCAGACCATTGGTCCATCTAGTTCAGCGTCTACACTGAGGTGCCAGGGATTGAACCTGGGACCTTCAGCTTGCAAGGCAGATGCCCCACCAGCGAGCTACAGTCAGTTGCAGGTTTTCTGATGGTCAGTGAGGGACAAAGCTATATGGTCACAGCCCATTTTTAAGGGTTTGGTACCCATGTTGGTTTTGACTGCCTGCTGTTTCCAGCCAATCACAAGTCCTCTAAAGTTTGCCAGGTGAGGAGCTGGAGAAGATTGCTAGCACTGGTGAAAATGGCTACTGGATTTCTTTCTCTGCTAGAGTTGATTAGTAAACTGTTGATTTGAGAAGAGGTGTGACTTCTTCTCTAAAGAAGAATTGCAGGCAGGAGACCAGGCTTTGCTATATGCACAACCTAAAGAGGGTTGTGCACGTGTGGCAAGCCCATTTTAAGACATAGCTGTTCACTGCCATTTATCAGTTATTTGCTAACTAGCTATTAACCTTTTTTCTCTGTGTGCTATCTAATAGCAATAAATCAAATTAACGAAGCAAATCACTATTATATGGATTGATTTAAAAAATGATCAATAGTGAGATATGGTAGCTCCAAGGAAATTTGAACTGGAGGATCATGGAACTGCACCTTCTCCAGTTTTTTGCTGCCATCCATAAGGAGCTCAGAAGCTAAAATAGATGGGAGAAGTTTTATTCACAAATGACGTGCATTTATAGAAACTTCCCAAAGGGGAGAGATGTTGGAGAAAGCAGAACATCATTGTTGCCCACACTAGGACTGTGGCTGGATACTAGAAAATTAATTTTAGCCCTATCTTATGCTCCCTTCTTTTACTTTGCACTGCACACAGGGTCATTCGCTACTGAATCCATTGCTTTCTTTTCCCACTTTCATCTCTGTATTTCCTGCCATGTTGCTCCTTTATACATGGAATAGCACTCCCTTAAACTACTCTGCAATATGTGTCTCCTTCCATCTTTAAGTGCCTTTGTCTAGACTGATTTGTCATGCGTGGGTGTGGGAAGCAAGGCCAAAAATGGTTGTATGGGGGTGGGGGTAGCAAGGCTGGGCTTTGGAAAGGAGGTACAAGATTCTGGCAGAGTCCAAGAGCCCTCCCACCACCTCCCCAAAGCTGGGAAAGTGCTAATTAAGCTTTGGGAAGGTCTCTAGTACCCTGTCAGAGCCCTCAAGCTTTGGTAAGGCAGTGTGAGAGCTGAGGGGGGGGTCAAATGTTGCTGAGGGCTGCCCTACCCTACACTACCCTAACCTCCCTTGACTAGCACTTCCAGTAATACTTTGTCCCCACAAATTCATCACTCACAAATGCCTTCCCCAACCTCTAAATCAGTGGTGGGGAACATGTGATGCTCGAGATTTGGACTCCCCACTCCTGTTGACCCCATCCAGTATGGTCAATGGTGATACACAGCATTAGACATCCATATGTTTGATGAATGCATGGAAGTAAGAGTGGCACTATGTTTAGGTGTGCACCAACATGTTAATCTGATTTTCCCCATATAAGTTACTGAAGTTTTATGCTTGTTTTTTTAAAAATAAAAATCCATCCCATAAGCCATCCCCCTTCAGCATATTTGCAATTTTGATCAGGGTTGGCCTGGAACATTAACTGAAGGAACCCGTTCCACCCCAGACAACCTCTTTTCCAATTTGAATGCCCTATTAATACTTGTTGTCAGGACATCCAGATTGGTTATTGCTGTTTCTCATAAGATTCATCCTTTTGCTTCTCCATGTTTTGTTTTTAAAAGCCCACACAGATTCATAACAACAATGCTTTGCTGCCATGTCACATTTCATTAGGCATGTTGTGGTTTGCATTCAGCTTCTGAGAATGCGGTTGGTGAGCAAAACTGCAGGATTCCAGCTCCTCTGGTGTACTGCAGAAGTCTGTAAGGGAAAGAACTGAGGCCTACAAAGGACTTGTAGACAAATTACATTGTGGGGTTCAGTGTCTTGTGGTTTTGAATGCAGACAAAGCATGGGGTAGCAAATCTTTTGCTATGCCATAGTGTGCACAAGCCATTATGAGTGTTTATCATGTTGATTCTACTAAAAAGCAGCTGTGCATTATACTTCAAATTAGAAAAGAAAATCCATTTTTATTGTGTTTGTGGAACAGCAGAAACAATATGAGCCACTGCAGTGTTTCGCTAGGAACCATTTATTGTGACAAAAATTATTGAAAGATTCAAAATCGTCAACAGGTACAGTTGGAATAATCAAGCACTTAGTTTATTTTTCAGCCTAGCTCATTCAGTGTGTACTTTAGATGACAATGTAGCAACTAACCAATAGTGCCATCAGGGCAGGACTTTGGGGAAGAAGTCCAGGGACTCAGCAGAACGAGCATGAAGCTATGATATTTTGAAGCAAGCAAGGTAATTCACAGGACCATTAAAAGAGAGCCAGTCTACTGTTACCTAATGACACTGCTTTAACCAACTATTTTCTGAAAGCAGTATAAATACTATTTGAATCCTCGAACTCAATAGTGCTTACCTGAAGCTCCTGCCATAAAGCACTAGTGCTGAAAACTAAAGCAAGACACACTAGATTTGATATCCGGAGAGGTAGCCAGTGTAGTATCTTTCAGATGTTGTTGGACTACAACTTCCATCAGCCCCAGCCAGCATGACCAATGGTGAGAGGTGATCTGGGCTGTAACCCAGCAACCTCTGGAGATAATCACATTGGGCACCTCTATTGGCAAGGACACTGCTTGCATGGCTACTTGTAGTATTAGTAGCAGTGCTGGCAGAGGGTATACCTGCCAGAACCTTTTGAGTTCACTCACTGTGGGGAAGCAGGTGGTCTCATGCATTTCAGAGCCACACAATACAAAACTCTACATCATAAATGTATGAAGAAGCTTCATGCAGAGGGGAAGTTGAACCTGGTTTTCTTGGCCCACAAATACGAACAACTAGAAGGTTAAGTGTAAACTTGCCCAATTTCTTTTTTTCTTCCAGAAAGGCAAAACTGCTGGCTGCTTAGGTTTTTTTGAGTTCATCCCAGGTGTCTGAGGAGCAAGGGGTTGCTACTTTTCTTTTAAATTACCACAACCACTACAAAACCCCAGAGAAAACACCTCAATCAGTGAAGCGGCGCTGATGGGAATTTTGTTGAACTTGATGTGCACCTCAGATTAACATCTAGGGGGAGAATACCAACTCAAGGCCGTGTGGGTTTCCAAAGGAATGGTGACAAACTGAGCGCTTGACTGAACCAAGCAGACGGCTCTGCCGCTATTAGCAAGCTACTCTGGGCAATGATTTCAAATGAAAGTCTGTATTTTATTAATTATGAGTCTGCTTTGCTGCTGAACTCTTTAATGAGTTCCCCAGCTGTATCAATCCATAGCCATTAAGTCTAAATAGCTTGTGTGCGTGCACGGATAACAGTTAGGCTAAAATGCATTCATCACCAAGAAATTAAGCATGTAGGTTTACAAGAATGCACAGCTCATCAGCTGCACATGAAGCCATTTTTGCCTTGTGATAACATTTGTGAGGATTTAAACTTTCATTTTTGTAGAATAAGGAAAGCTTAGGACCCACACGGTTGTCAAGGAAAGCTTTGAGAATGTTAACTACAATGCTTGTGCTGCAGGCTAAGTTGGAGGAAGACACAGTGCCTTATTTTAAAGCAGAAAAACCGGCATCATTATGAGGTGGGGCTTGTGCATGGAGGAAGGGCATGCACATTCTAAGGACTGGGTGGGTGGGGGGAGAGTTCAGCTTTGTGCCAGTTGTATAACTGGTCTGAATATGACATAGAAGTAAGAAGGGTGAAGGGTAAGGCTAATTCCCCCTTTTCTACTGGGAGAAAGCATGGTTACCACAAGCTGTCCTTTGAAAGACCCTTCAAAGGATAGAGTGGTCATCGTAATCTGCTGTATCTCCTATCGGAACATTGCAGGACAACTAATTCAAGAAAAGACAAAGATTAACATAGCATTAGGAGATAAGGCATTGCCAAATTCATGCTTAGCTTGGAAATGTGCATTTCTTACACTAAAAATAGCATTTTTGGTTCTGACTAGGGATGGCTGGATCCGTCCATTTTCAATCCATGCCAGTTTCACGTGTGTTCATTCATAGGTTTGTTCCCTCCCATTTCTGCACCTATCTGCAATTTTGAATTTTGTATTTAAATTAATATTTGGAAGTGTATTTCCCCACTCAATCCCATGTATGCATTTCTAACATATTTCATCCTAAAATATACATTTCAAAGCATTTCAGAATGTTTCTTGAGTTGCAAACTATATCTCAAAACTTAGAGAAATGGAAAGGACAACTCAGTTCTGATTCACACATTCATCTAGTGGGTGCAGTTTGCAGAAGAATGTGTAGAACTTGAATTCCTCCAACATTCCTATTTCTGACTAGAAAGCCTCTAAATCAAGCATGAGTGATGCTTGTCCTAAATCAATCAATCACATCCTGCAACTGATGATTGCAGAACACCCTATCTATGAACCGCCTTACTCTTTCAGCTGTGCATCTCTTTCTTGGGTGGCTACTTAGCCCTCAAACCAAGACCAACAGTGCTTTTAGACAATGACAATAGTCATTCTCCACCTGGTGGTTTGAAAACGAATTACAGGATGGGAATTAAGAGTCAAGAGAGGATGTGGTGACCTGACAAATCCATCAGGATTGTTAATTTCTACAAAGCAAGGTCCATCTGGTGACTCTGCCGGGTTCCGCCATCCTTCAAGCAGGTTGGCAGGAAATGCAAATAGCTAGCTCTATCACTGCTGGGTTTCAACTTAGTGCATTGCCAGTGGCTGTCAAGTAGATAAGATGAGAAAAGGAGCAAGGATCATTTGTATTGTTGCAAATGCTTCTAGTCTCATTTACAAACCCACCTATCCCAGCCAATTCTGCTAGTTCTATTGATAAATCCCTCAAACCTTAGGCTTTCTGCCTCTGTATTCACTTCTCTGGCAACTGCAACATATGATTTTGGGTATTCATCTTTTCCCAACCACATAGACAAATTAGCAAGATCTACTTCCATACAGCTGAAGATTTATTCATCTGTGAAGCAACAAAGTCTGTTGATTTTGATGGACATG